AATATGCTTAGAGCAGGCTAAGAACATGCCTTGTTTGGCCTTGCTTTTAAGGGAGTAATCAAACCCTATAGAAATACTAACACTTTAGATCTCATGAAACCATATTTTATATTTGTAAGTGGAAGTCTAGGTATACAGCAGGCTGTCGTGCAATTGGGACACCCAAATGTCCTAATCATGTTTTATTAAGGCTTTCTGACTGTAAAATGTCTTCGCATAAGAATTTAATATTAAGTGTACGTTACAGCTGCACAGCAGTATAAGGCTGTTATAGAGCAATAAAAAAGGTGAGATTTTCAACCTGGCTTCCTTTACTATTAGTTACTATTATGTAGATGAGAACTTTTGCAGTAATTAACAAGAAAAAATATGAAATATTTCTTAAGAAATAATGGGATTATTTTTTTTTTAGCAAGGCATGCCAGTATGCAAAGGCTCAAAATATTCCTCTGTCTCTATGCCAGTAACTAATAATATGCTTTCACTGATATTTTGTTGTTGCTCTTTCACTGAAGTGCACAGCAGCATGGGATGATAACAGAATTGTGTGGTAGTTAGATACGGTAGTGCTAATGTTCAGCAGCCAACTTGAAACAGGACCGTATTTTTAAAAATGCCTGCAACAGTAGAGCACTAGTAATGTATAACCATGATACTGGACACAGTTTTCCAGATTATGCGGTTATGGTTAATTTTGTTGACTTCTTAAAAATGTTGGAAGGGTAGCCCTGTACTGATGTGAGGTTTTTTGTTAGGTTGAGTTTTTTGTTTTCATCCAGTTTGGTTTCATTTCATTACTTCTGCAACTTGCAATAAGAGTAATATGTGAAAAACTGGCTATTTGGCAAAAATTATCTTGGCAATCTCCAAACAAAATGCTGTAATTAGCAGGTTTACTTATATTTAATGAATTACATTGCTTGATCTCACTCTTCATCTAGCCGAAAGTTAAGTGACAAACTCATATTGCTTGTTGTCAGGAGTTTAGAATACAAATACAGTGTACATCCAAGCTTTCTGTAAAGTAAGTTACCCTTGTTGCCTGCTTTCTGTGTCCAGAGAAGTTCTAGATCTGTATGAACATCTTAGTTTTGAGTTTAAAAAGTATATATACTGTTCATATATATATGTATTGTGTGTGTTCGTATATGCCTATGTATACACACACACACACACACATACCGACAGTATAATCAATTACGTGCACGTCATTTGTTCAGGTGGAATTGTTACTTGTTTCTTGAAGAGCTGAGCTAAATATCCTTTTGCAGTAGGTTAGTTGAGTTAAGCGAGAACATCCTTCTCAGATGATGAGATGCCAGTACTCCCGTGCAAGAGAAGGGACTGGAGAGAGTCAAGGAGGCTCTAGAGTATGTAAGTCTTTGTTCCGTGGCTGCTGCAGAGATGTATTTCCCAAATAACCTATGTATTGTGAAATCGCACATTTCAGGAAACTATTGCTGCTTGCTTCCTCACTACATTCTACATCTAGTTGGTTGGAAATAATTTGTGAAATTTTAGTCAATGCAGGTGTCCTGTGTGACTGAACAGCAAACTTGCGGCCAGTAAGATTCACATGTACTGCTGAAAGTGTTAAACTTGGTAGGAATGTAACTGTAATATCTCAGTTTCTTGTTCTGGAGACTTGTAAATTTAGCTTTCTCCAGGATCCTAAATATTACATTAAATTTTATGCTTTTACAGTATGTGGCTTTACAGATAGGATTTTTTAAAAAAAAATTATTATTTGTTAATTAAATATTTTTACAGAGGAGCAAACTGTAGATGAGTAACTGCTATACCTCATGTTGTGCCACATAAAAGAGCAATAGAGTAACAGCACAGATACTTTGCAGTCCCTCAAGAAGAGAAGGGTGATTTGCGCTGCACTGGAATGTAGCCAGTGTTGGGTTAATCAGGTTGAACATGCTAAGGCTTTACACAGCCAGGTCTTTCTCTTTAACAGTAGCAACACTGGACTTTCCAGGTTGTGGTTCACAAAGCTTGTATTAGAAAACTGATCACAGTGGTGATCTTAAATGTCTGCTTAAACTTGTTGAATTTTTAAAATTTGTGACTTGGAAAGAGATTGTTTAGACTCTTCCCATTTTTCCCAGAAAGGTATTTTTACCAAATGCAGTGTCAGTTAAGGAATGACACAACTACAGTCTCCAGTACAAATGGAGTGTATGGATTTTCTCCTTTTTGCCAATGGAATTTAAAAACTAGTTATACGCATGGAGGTTCTAGTACTTTGGGATTTAGTTAATTCAAACATCTAGCTGAAACAACCAAAAATGTAGAAATACATGTTAATTGAAAACACAAGGCTAGCTATTGGTATATACTAGCTCATGTATTTAGATTATTTGCAAAAATAAATTGAGTGTTATAACCTGTGTATCTCTTCATAGGAATCAAACAGTTAATGTACTCAAAGTTTTATGTGTTTGAAAAGCTGTCAAGTTCTGCTATCCTACATTTGGTTGTGAGAAACAACTGTGCTGAATTTGGGGAGAGTTTGCCCAGAAGTTTCAGGGGAATGTTTCTGAACATTCTGAACTTACTAGTCTAGTGATAGCTACCTTGGCTTTTAAAATTTTCCATCCCAGATGGCACCCTGCTACACAGCCTCTGGAATACTTGACTGGGGATGATGATAAAATGCTGTGGGAGACGGAAGGCTTGGGAAGGAACAGGACTTGTTGTATGTGATGTAAAGGGCTGCCTGGATAAAATGGCACTTGAAAGTGCTAGTTCCTGCTGCTGCTGACATATTGGGAGTTTGTATGCACATTATTGGCTTGGTAGAGCTTCTGCGAATGCTAAACCAGTACAGAGTTGCTCTCGTGCTGCTTCAAGCATACTAACCAGTATATTCTGCAGCCCACAGCTTGCTAAATATTTGGCAGCTTCTATTTTGCTTTTCTGTTGAACAAGGTAGCTTCTTCATTAGTAGTGACTTCAACATGTCAGCTGTACTTCAGAGTTTTTTGAAGTACAGCTGTTTTCTGGCACACCGTGCACTTAACTTCTACGTAAGACCAGTATCAGCACTTACCCATGATATGGATTTTTTTCTAAAGTGTAGGTATAAGTGTCTAGAATTTCACAGAATGTGAGAATCAGCTAAACATCAAGTACAGGAGCATACACTTTGGGACAAATCTGCACTCAGCACTGTTAGAATTGCGACTTGTTAATTCATTGTCCTGCAATACTACTGATGCAGTACTTTTTAAAATGGAGAGCATGGCCTGTCTTGGGGCTCCAACTGCAATCTCCTTTAGTCCTTATGTCTTCTTAACTGTCATCTGTCTTTCCCTCTTCTTTTCTTCTAGCTAGATATAACTTATGGTTATGCTATTTAGCAGAATCAATACTTTTCACACTGACAAAAATATTTAGTGAGTCTCATAGGTTTCTACTAAGCAGTTGTTGCCTATCTCAGTTAGGAGTGAGCTGGATTTCTGGCTCCACTTCACAACGCAGTGTCTTCCACATTTCACTTACAGTAAAATGGGCTGTAAAGACCTGTCTTTCAAAGCTACAACAAAACCCAGGATGCTTAAAGCATGGTTTGCTGTGTCTCAGTATCGAGGTTGTTAATCATGTTTTCCACTTCATTTCCGGACTTCAGAATTTAGCATTTAACGGAGACTAACGTGCCATCGTAAAGAGGAAGAAGTTTGACTGTGTGCTTTTGGCAAGTAGTTTCAAATTTGACAAACATTTGTCAGCTAAGGGGTTTTCATAGCAGTTGTGAGAGGAAGTGAATGAATTCCAGCCTCTGTTGGACACAGTTCATGAGGTTGTTCCATATAATGCCTTTTCTGCTTGTTTTATATTCTTTTTTTCTTATCCTGCCAAGTAGAAATTAATGAAATCTGTTATTTAGTAGGCAGATGTTGAGTCTCTAAAATATTTATCTTGCTCTAAATGGGCCAGAACAATTGAAAACTCTGTCTTTGAGACTCAGCTGACACTGTTAGGCAGCTTTTGATAAACTACAGGTAAACTTTGGATCCAACTGCAGTGTTACATTAGTGCTTTTCAGGGGATGGAGAGACAGGGTGTGTGCTTTCTCTGCAAATACTTGATAAACTAAAGAGGGAGGTGTATTTGGTGGTCATACTGAAGCTACCTTCGGTGGCTAGAGCAAGGGCTTGCCTTGCTGGTTGGAGGCGGCAGGTGTTAGCATGGAATGTGATGGGTTTGCATGCAGGCAGCCCCAGAGGCAGCCTTTGAGAACAGCTGCATCCACTCCTACTTGACACTAGGCCACGTATCTAAGCCTTTGGTATTGCTGCGTTATCACCCAAGTGTATGCTCTTCAGGAAAATGTAACACATGGTTTTTGAACAAATCTAAAAAAAAGTTAAAGCCAGCTCTTTCAGCTCTTTACAGTATCTCCGATGTCTTGCTTTTATGTGGCAGAAGTCATGGTAATGAATTTCAAATTGATTAAGAAGTACATACATTCTTACCGATAAATGGCTACACTGTTTAAGATGGCTGACAATGCAGAATCCATAGTCTCTTCATTTCAGTTTATTAAAACAGACTTAAATTGCTAATTGTTGGTCAGTAGCAGAGTAAACCCAGCAACTAAGTCTGTCCAGTGAAATTCTGATAACCTGGTCTGATGCTCCCCCTGTCTAAAATCTGGTATTACAACCTGAACACAATCCTTTAAAACTATTGAATGCAGCATGCAGATCTAATTCTTTATCTGAGTGAATGATAGCTTAGCTTAACAGAATATACACCTTTATATAGTGATCAAAGAAGATTATTGTAGGATGATACTTCACTCAAATTTGACTCTCTGTCTATATGCCAGGTCTTCATGTGACTACTGTGCTGGGCAAAATATGTATCTTTTTTTGTTCCTTCACTGTATTCAAGAAAGACTTTTCTAATAAAAAAATGTCTCCAACATATTATACTAGGGACAATAAACTAATGCTAAGCTAACTTGAAATAATTTATTTTCTTACAGTGAAAATGTCCTGTTTGGAATGGGAAATCCTCTGCTTGATATCTGTGCAGTTGTGGACAAGGACTTCCTTGACAAGTAAGTCTTGATTTCTTTTTTAATGTCAGTTTTGTTTCCAGAATGATGCCTATAAATAAGTGGGGGGCCACCTGCTTGTGTAATGCTAAGTTTGTGCTGATCCCTGTGGGATTCTGGCCTTATGCTGAAAGAAGCCAACATTGTGTCAGACAGTTGATTGTTCTAGATATATGAAGCTGTGGTGGTGGTGTCAATGAAAAAATTCAGTGTTTTCATGGGGTTTTGGTATTGGTTTCTGTCAATTACTTATTCTAGTCTCTTCATGCTATCTTTGCTAGCCTTTAATTGGAAGCAATCATCAATGCCAGTAAGATGTAGGTAGCTAATGTATGAATATTTGTGTGCTACTTTTGATGTACTATTACAGCGCTCTTGTCTTTCTTCAATGATGACTTTGAGGCAAATAAGCAATTTCTGTAACACACCAAGAAAAGTTTTGCAAGTGTACCTTCTATTTTTTTTTATGTTCCATCAAGAACAGGACCACTTCTTATCATATGGTCTATTATCTTTCCTAAGCCTAGTTGTTATGCTACCATCCATGTAACCATATTGCTGAATTGGTGTTTGTCTTGCTGTTGGCATTAAGCTTACTTGTTCTTTGATCAGCTTAGACATGTGTCTTTTCAAGAGGTGTAAAATACAGTTGTTCTTTGAAATCCTTCTGCATGAGCTCACTTTCTTCCTGCTGTTGTTGCTGTTTTGTTTCTCTTCTTTGCAAGTGATCAGTAAGTTGATTTCCTCTTTCAGTGCTCACAATTCTTTGTTTAATTTTTAAAGTGTTAACAGTTTTTTCTCTAGTTACTTTTCTTTTAGTTATTAGTGGGAATACTGGATCAAGAATGAATTTCACATCACCAATAAAGAACAGGTGCAGAGTTCTTTGTGAATGTATACTGTCAGCCACAAATCTTCTGTTGTGAAGCTTTTGATAGTAGCAATAATTTGTTTTGCAATGGATATTTTATCACTCAAGTTTTATCTGAAGATGTGTTTAAGTGAGAGCCTGAATATTATAAGCTGGAGGCAAAAGACAAGAATGTAATGGAGTGTATCAATCTCAAAAACATCTGGAACTTTGAACACTCAAGACCTAGACTTGATTTCTGAAAAAGTAAATTATCCTGATTTAATTCTCTGCCTTGTATTTCTACTGAAATAAGTTGAAAACCAGTCTCTGAATGTAAGTAATGTCCCCACCCCCAACCCAACAATACCCCCCAACTAATCTTTATATTTACTGTTATAAAAGAAGTGGTGGGATCTATATTGCAGCAGTGAAATCCTGCAAGAGTGCATTGTGCTTTTCACTGGACCTAATATGCTCTGCAGAATTTAATTTAGAAATTAGAAGTCTTATGTACTCAAATTTGAGTCCTGTCAGACAAGTTAAGTTACCTCCTGGAACAACATATGTTCTGCGAGCATTTCTTTACTGCCAAAATGCCTTTGTGGAGTATTGCATTATTTAAAGCAATAAGCAGTCCTCCAACAAGTTTCACAGGGGACCTGCTGATGGTGTGGTAGCTGTGGTAATAACCTGAAAACTGAGAAGGCTGTCTACCTTCTTCACATGTACCTGATTTTATTTCTAGCTCCCTATTTGTGAGTGTGTGCATAGTAGTCCCTTTAACAAACAGACAAGCATGTTTCTACTCTTAAGTCCAGCTACCTTTTGCAGTACTTCCGGAAACAGGAATCAAATCCTACGCTTGCTTGGCTTGTGAAGGGAGATAAAATAGCAAACCTTGCTGTAGAACAACTGCTAGAATAAAGCTATCTATTCAAATGCTGCAGGGAGGTGCAAGAACACAGATATTTCAGGACTGTGAAACATTTGACAGAGAAATTGTCAATCATACCAGTCTAGTGTCTCTGTTTTTCTTGTCAAACAAGATGTGCATCCATCTCTAGCCATATAGTGTCAGCTCTTGGTATCTTGGCAGCAATCAAATAACTCTGGAGTTTGTGTCTCACCTCTTCAACTGGATGGGCATGTTTTATGGGGCCATCAGGCCAGCTGGGCTCTGATTTGAGAAGGTAGCTTGGTAAAACAATGAAAGAGTTTAGGTAAACACTCATAAGAATTTTATATATTTAACTTTTTCTCTGTTTCTGTTGGTTTATCCTCCTCTCTTGTATAACCAGTTTTAAGAGTAAATACCCGTGTTCAGAATAAAGGACTTGATGTTGCAAGTTTAATCAACGTATGTCCCAATGAAATGGGAGAGCATTAAAATGAGTCCTGTTACCAGATTATGTTTGTAACTTTATTAAGAAAATGCAAATGGAAACAGTATAAGATTCTGTAGGAATTCTCAAGCGGTCCTTTTAACATTATTTAAATGACCTACAATCCATGTTATAAATAAACCTGAAAATAAATACATAAGGCAGTCCTACCCCTGGCAGAGTCAGAACAGCTTGCTGCCATGTAATACTGGTGTGAGGAAATGAGCAGTACTGGAGGGTCGAGTGGGTATTTTTGGCTTGGGTTGTTAGTACAGCCCTGTCCCCTTTCTTTCAAAGTGGATTTTCATTTAATCGGGGCTCCAAAGTCTTTTGCGCTCTTGACAAATTTTGGAAAGCTTTCAGCCTTTCCTAGATTATTTCTAGGAGAGGTGGTATTAATTTATATCACAACAAAACTTCACTGTCCCTGTCTGAGCTTGTCAGACCACATGAGCAGTCTGGCATTATCTGAGCCAAAGAAGCTTTGGCCTCTGTCAGGTAGTTATGTTTTCTGGGTCTCACTTCCTATCTCTCTTCAGGGAAACAATCTGAAAAAGTGTTAGCAAAGTTGATGGCACTGTTGAAAGCTGGTGATATCCAAAACCACTTCAGTTGCTTTTCACAGGGCTGGAGAACAGTCTTGAAGTAAATATAAACCATTGTATGTCCTTGGTTTTTTTCTGAGTATCTGTATGAAAGAAATATTAGAAATGCTTTTTTTTGGGTGTCCTTTTAATTTGCATTAACTCCATAACCTAACAGTGTTTATTTTTGTTTCATTTTTCTAGGTTATAGATACTTTCTCTAAGAGCAGCTTTTTATGGGTGGGAGGGGAAAGACTAGAAGAAGGATTGACGCTTTGTGGGTGAATTGCTAACTATAGCTATGCTAATCTGTGAAAGTAACTTTGCTAACAGGTATTCATTAAAGCTTTTGTTGTACTCATTTCTACCTGTGACATTTAACAGGAATGATTCTTTTATCTACTGAATCTGTAACAGGCATTGAAGAATAACTTAATGTACACTATGTATATTAAACTTTTAAGTGGGCAAAGAAATTCTGATTAACATGGCAATGATGTTTTAGGACTCCATAGAAACTCAGTACTGCTGACTCCTGTAAATACTCCAATGCTGTTAAAAGTTAAGAGATGGTATCTGTTTCATTGCTCACCCTAGAACACCCTAGTACTCTGTTTTGCAAATATTTAGGTTTTGACAGTTATCTAGCTATAGTTAATTTTTAGGCTGTAGAGATCTGGTTGTTATTTGTCACATCAAGTACACATCTAGCGATTGAGAAGCGTGTGTTCACAGAATGGACAAATCTTCTCTTGCTGTTGTCCAACACTTGGGTCTGTGATTGCATGAATTGAGGAGGTGGAGAGAATCATTACTGACAAATTCATGTTGACAGAATTATTAAGCCAGTCTTGGAATGTCTAAATATGTGAAAACCTTGTATCTTCCCTAATTAGCCAGTGGCATGGCAAGGAGAATATTTGTAATTGCTAGCACCTGTATAAGCATGGAAATATCTTTCAGCCCATGCTCTTAAAAAGGAGTGGAGATATAGGGGAAATTACGATATATGTCCTATTTCTTACATTAAGGTTAAGGATACTTATTGCTTTATTTCACTCTATTTTCTGGGCTCTTGACTACAGCCATGATCTCATGAAGTGAGGTATGTTTACTAGTCTGGATGCTGAATTCCATTATATTTGTTATCTCCAGACTGATTATTTGATCACCATTATTGTTCAGGATTTCAAGATGCTATTCAATTTACTTACTGGTTGTCAAAGCAGCCAAGTTTTTTTGTGTAGTCTTGTTTTTTTTTTTTTCTTTTTTTTTTTCTCTCCTTAAAATCAGGGTCTGTGGCAATCTTTGTACAAGTTCATTGAAGGTGGTCAGTAAAGATCTGTAGTTTTTAATAGCTTTCATGCCCTGCGTCATCTGCTCCTTTGTTCTCTTCCCTGCCTTCTCTGTGACACTGTTGTAAACACAAACTATCTGTAAACCAAGAAATGGGTTTATGTTCTTCTTACTCTTCACTGGAAAAACAGGGTTGAAGAAATGGGAGAGGAAGAATGAATGGGGTCTTTGCAGTGTGTTTGTGTTTTGGAATGTTGGTGATGGCTAATGCATGAAAAGAGAGTATCATCACACCGAAGGAAGAAATGCTGACATCTTGAACTGTAACTTCACAGGTATGGGTATGGATCTCCTGCAGCATGCTACTGACTTGTCTGCAGCATTGAAAGTGGTTAGCTCATTACTGGAGACCCCAAGATGCTTGGTCATTCTCTACCTTTCCTCACTGCAGAGCAGTGTTGGAGGGTGATGGATTAGTTAAGCACAAACTTTACTAATGGAGCAATGTTGACATCTGGTAAATTAAACTTGCTTGTTTGAGGCTGTTTTAGTGCTTGCTGTAATGGAAGTGATGTACATATTTGATTTTTTTTTTTTTTCCCCATTCCTGTGGGAATTTGGATTGCAAATTAAGAAAAGGTTTGAGAAGCAGCTGAAATGAAAAACATCTGCTTACTTGCATTAAATTTAGGTTAGTTTGTACAGCTGTGGCTTTAGCCATTCTACCATAAGTTATTATCGACATGTTCAGTTTGTTACCTTTGCTTCCATCTAACAGAAGCCTTTGTACTTCCCATAGCAAAAAAAAATCAGAACACCACTCATGCAGTTAACTCTCAAAGTAACTAAGGGTCTAAATAGCTTTTAAAATCAGAAGTGACTCTTTTGTTT